CTCCCATTTCCTTCTTCTCTCTCTCCCCCCTTCCCAAAGCATGAAATGCTGACAAGAGAAAAGACAGAATAGCTTACAGGGGAATGAAACTGGGTTGTAGTTATGTCTTGTGACTCATGCTGGAATCTACCCTGTCTACTTCTAAGGAAACTTCACAATTCCCAGCTAGTTGGTGGCTGCAAGTTTAACTATAGGGCACTGGTGCCCAGTCTTATATCTGGAAACTCATTTCCAGTTGTGGTTTTAGAGTTCTTCATAGAAGAGGCTGAGTGAATGGGGTGCATACCTGGAACCCTGTTGGCAAAGCAAGCACTCTGTTTACTTGGCTTCTGTGGGCACTGCACACATGAGGTGGTCTACATACATACACACAGGCAAAATACTCATCTATATAGAGTAAAAATAAATAATCTTTAAAATATGATGTGATGATTGCTAGTAGGACACTGCGTTAGCTACTTTTCCAGTTGCTGTGATAAGATATTCTGATAATAGCAACAGGCAGGCAGGATTTATCAAAATAAATATCACAGTTTCAGAGTTCAGTCCATCACAAGAACAGCAACAGGCACTTAAGGCAGCTGGTCATACTGCATCCATCTTTAAGAAGCAGAATGAGATGAATGCTTGTGCTCAGCTCTGTTTTCTTTTTTATATTGTCCAGGATCCTACCCCAGGGACTGGTGCCACCTACACTGGGGTGGGGAGGTGTCTTCCTACCTCAATTAACTTAAACAAGGTAATCCCTCACAGGTATGCCCAGAGGCCCATCTCCCAGGTGATTTTAGATTTCATCAAGTTGACAGTTGAGGTTAACCACCACAGAGATCTACTGATGACTTTTCTCATCAAAGTGACCAAAACTCAGGGAATTATATCAGCTTATGTTTTTAGACCGTCAGGTTCATAGTCACTTGGCCCCTGTTTGTGGAGAAAACATCATGGCAGCAGGAGGGAAGGGAGGAATCCACCTCAGACAGGAAAGAGAAATAGAGAGACAGAGACCAATAGGAACGGGCTGGGGAAAGATATACCCAACGTTCTATCCCCAGTGACCTGTATCTTCCAGCTAGGTCCCACCTCCTAAAGTTTTTGTGACCTCCAAAGCTGGGGACTAAGCTCAAACCATGAGCCTAGGGTGGACATTATAGTTAAGCCATAATGGATGAGAATGTGGCTGGACTATTAGACTGGAGGCTGGAAACCTAGATGAGCTCTGTCTCCGCCAACAAATCAAAGAGATTCATCATCTTAAAACAGAGGTGGCAAATGAGAGATTCTCTACTCCGTTCTCAATCCATTTCTTGTCCTCTAATATGTTTAAGACAGAAACCTTATAAGTGAATCTAGCCTAAGGGATCAAAGTGCTAAATGGCCTCCTGGTCCTTGCCCTACTCATTTGATTTTCAAAGGCCAGATGGAGGACACTAATCCTGGGCCATGTCCTTCTAGAGGCTTCTTATCTATCATCTGCAATGTCCAGGAAGAGGAGGGGACTGGGCAGCAGGAAGGAGGAACTCCAACTTGCCAAGTGTTTAATGATCCAGGCTGCCAAGTGCTTTCTATACATTATCTTCTGCAATGCATATAATATTAAAATAATATCAATACTCTGATTCAGAAAGATTAACTATAAAGTGACAAGCTAAAAAGGACTTCTCTTCATAGATGCTCAATGAGTATCTGTTTATGAAATAAGTGGATGTCAGAGACAGGGTTTAAAACCAGGTTTTAATGTCAAAGTGTGTGCTAACATACAACATTCTCAAGCAGAACTTGGAGAAGTTAGAGACTGACTTTCTCCAAATGCTGTAATCTCTGGTAAGCATTGCCTCAAAAGAAACTCATTTTAGATCATGTACCAAACAGCCAATGATGGTTTAGTGTGCCCCCTCTGTGGAAAAGTACTCTTCAAGGCACTTTGGATAATTTCAACTAAAAAAAACATTTAAAAAGCAAGACTCTTATGACACTCATGGTTGTATAGTATAGAAGCCCTCTCCTCTAAAAAGATGGAGTAGGAGAGGGTAATTATAAGGATAGATATTGTATCAATTCCAAGCAGAGTTGAACAGTAAGACATTAGGAAGGGCAAGAATCGGGGGAGTCTAAGAACACTGAAGGAATGCAAAGATCTTTATCAATCCGCCATTCACTCCTGATATAGATATGAGCATCTATATCATTTAGAGTTTACAAACTGCAGTGTGAAAAGATGTCACCCTGCTTTAACCGAGTTTAATTGTCAAATTGGGGGGCAGCACATGCTTGGTAGAGCAAAAGTATGTCCAAAAGACACATGTGCACAAAGTTTAAGGACATTTCCTCAACTTTTATGTGTAGTTTTTTCCTGATAATTCACGTGCTTGAGAAGATATTTGACGAAGCCCTGGGCAGGCTCTTTTTCCTTCTCCCTTTGTTAGGATGTTGTGTCTGTGTGTTATATAGTTGGGTCTATGCTAGACAGGTAGAAGTTTTCCCCTTATCATTATTCCCCATAACTATATCTGGTTATATTTAGACTGTATTAGGTTTAGGCAATCTAGAGTGATTCACAGCATACAGGTGGATGTATGCAGGCTATATGCAAACACTGTGCCTTTTTCTATAAAGGACTTCAGCATCACAGACTTTGGTGACTGGTGGAGTCCCCAAAATTAATATCCTTCAGATGCAGAGGGCTGGCTATATTTGGCCGTGTGTAGGAGTTACCTGGGCTCTGCCTCAGGTCAACTTCAGAATGTTCCTGGGTTATTTTTGTTTATCCATCAAAAATAGACTGGGAGCTGACTTTTGTGAGCCACCCTTATATGGTGCCTAGTCAATGGATCAGAATTCATCTCTGTCACCTTAGGAAAGCTTCTTAACCTGCCTACATGTAATCTCCTCTTCTGTGACAGTTGTTCCTACATCATTGGTTATAATGGGAATAAATAAAGCACTCCATGTGTAGAGTACAGCATCTAGTACATAAACCATCAATAAATTACACCTTATTACTAATTATACAGTATATTGTTTTATCATTTATGCAAATCTCTGTACATGATCTCTTGGTTATGATGATGGATACAGCATCTAATTGCTAGCTGACTTCATAAAAAAACATGAAAGGAAAAAAAATCAAAGTTTATTAAAAATTTAGAATAGCAGATAAAGTTTTGAATTTGACAGCATGAACACCACCAATACTATGGTGCACAATTAAACTAACCTTGTGTTACCTTGAAACTGTTTAACAAATGCAATCTTTGTGGTGTTGCCGAAGGGATAATCAGTTGTTATGTGCACTAAGGTGCTCAAAAATTAAAGATTTTATGACTTGACTTAAATATTCATACATAAATGCACACATACATTCCCCTGCATACATTTGGGCAAAATACACTGAATTTAATTACTAAATTCAATCCACTAAGACCTACAATAAAAAGTTTTGCACATTTTTAAATGACATTGATTTCACCAAACAATCTTGTTTCTCCAAACAAGAGGAGAATTTGGCTTCCCCAATGGGGTGTACCCAGGACTCAAGGCAGGAAATGAGAGCATTCCATGTTGTCTGCCACGTGGAGGGCAACACCTCAGCTCGGTCACTTGCTGGGGCTGACCCCAGTGTCAAATACTGACCTCCACAGGCCGCATAGAACCCAGCTGTCCACTGCCTAAGGGTGTCACTAATTAACTCTGACAAAGTTTGAGTTTTCCTAAAAGAGACATGAGGGGAGAATCGGATGACCGCTAAGGAAAATCAAAGTCTTAACTGCAGCTTGCAGAATGTCAGTTGTTTCACCCTTAAGCAGGGGAGGTGTCACCTATAATTTTCCCTGACTCCTTGAAAAGAGCCAGGGGTTAGCAGGAACCTCTGGGTTATCTTATCTGGCTTCCCACTCACCCAGTGCCCGGGTCCCATCATGCTCTGCTCACATACGGGGTCCTTCTGCTTCAAGGTCCCTTAGCGCTCAGTTGTACCCAGAGACAAAGGCCTAGCCCTGCCATGATTGATGTGGTTTGTGAATGGTCCAAAGTGCCATTTCCTCAGTAGTTGGAGATGATTATTTACAGTTCTCCCAGTCCTTCAAGGCAACAGGGGCAAGGAGACATGCTCATATGTCTCTGCCTTTCGTCAAAAATCTAGTTGAACAATAAAATGGCATAGCCTCATCAGGAAGTCCTATGCTGTTCATTCCAAATTGTGTCTAATTGATGTGGCATGCTACCACTTGGATGCATTTTTAGTGGCCAAGTAACTAATCTCTGAAAGCTGCCTGGGATGAAATGTGACAAATGGCCTCAGGGAGAGAGAGGAGGAGAGAGAGGGAGGGAGAGAGAGGGAGAGGTAGAGGGAGAGGGAGGGAAAGAGTGAGAGAGAAATGACCTACCTATAAGGCACCTGTGCAATCTCCAAAGTGTTTTTTATTTTTTTAAGATGAAGTAGGTTTCTGAAACCTTCCCTGACACACAAAATAATAAAAAAAAAAAACTTATTTAGTTCTTTTTATTTCTTCTGCAGAAAACATTTGTGATGCTCATTTGGTACAAACAATTCCAAGAAAGACCAGTGCTCAGGGATGTTTTTTGTTGACCATTTGATATTTCCATGAATTTGAATGGTCCACAGTGCAACCCTTATCTTTAAGTATGATTCCTCTTTGCTTTGATGAACATTGCCATTTCTGCAATTAGACTTTTCATCTGCAGAAAGGTCACCCCTGTGTGTACATGTGGCTCTTACTGACTTGCCTCTTCTTCATTTCTATTTAAGGTTGTCAAAGATTGCTGTCTTATTAGTAATTTATCTGGACAGTGTATTTCAAGTCCAGTACTCTCTCATCTCCTGCCATTATGTATGGCTTGGGACAAAATGGGAACCTGGGAGGAATCTCCTACAAATCTCGTTTCCCAGAACTGTGCCATCAGACAGAAGCTGATTGATGGAGGAGACCACCGGATCCTTAGAGACTTCCGGTACCATGGAGGCAGGAGACTAGAAACACCCATGGATGAAAGGGGATTTTAATCTAGCACAAAATATGTCTTTGCAGAAACAGCAGAATCTTTTGACATTATACAACTCAGTGAAAGAAAAGAACAATCATCTTTAAAGTCAAAATATCCATCAAATTATAAGTCATACACGTAGCACCGAGGTCAACCTTACACTGTGTAAGACAAACAGGGCCCAAACATAATGAAGCCGTTTGGGGCTCTCTCCCCAACACTTTGTTCCAGGAACTCAGAATTTTGAAGTGAACATTTATGTGGCAGATGCTTTTCCTAAAAAACACTGAACCATCCAATAAATATTTGACTAAAATCCATTTTGTGCTTCTGGGTGACGTTAACTGACTCCCTTCTGAGACCTAATAAGAAACAAGAATGCGTTGGAGAGGATTCGCCACAGCCAGCCTCCGTATTGTCATAAAATTTTAATTTTAAGCAGAAAACATGCTGATGTGTCAGTAATAGATTTAAAATATTAAAGACTTCACCCCCCCAAGCACTTTTCTGTACAGCATTGGTGAATATATATCTTTGCTATATAATTTTAAAACATGGAATAGTTCTCCTTTTCTCTTTTCTATATATAATATATGTCTTCCAAAATACATTGTCAGTATTTATATCTGAAAAATACTGTACAAAAAAGAACTTCCTATAATTACTCTGTATAAACATTAAACAATTTAATAATCTCTCCTTTTGGTCTATAGTAAACATTTAAATTGATTGGATAAACCACAGTTTGTGACAACACCGTCCCCTTCTGAGATACACCAGTGTCTTTTACATTCATTTTTTTCAGAAGTCCACTTGATAAGAGTACAGTCTTCAAAAGCAAACAGAGGATAAGAAACACAGGCTCCAGAATCATTAATTTATGAGGCATTCAAAAATGACACCACAAGGGAAAAGGACCTTCCAAAACATCAACTTTTAACTTAATCTAAAAACAGCAAAGGATAATTCACAAAAAAATATATGTTACAAAAAGAGTGGGAAAACTGAATCTTAAGTAATTCAATTATTTTGAATATCGAGAGGGAAATGGAAAAGTGGGTGCGGGGTGTAGGAGAAGGGTTACAAGAAAACCAAGCACATCCAGGCACAGGCTTCTCCAAGATGCATTGTTTTGGCTCACAAACTGATAAATTAACCCCACCTTCTTAGACCTCCCATAGCCCTCAGCTTCCCTGTCCTGAGAATACTCTGGTCATGCGCAAATGCATTACTTTAATTTTGTTTTGTAAAAGACAGTGAAATTCCTAGGTAGGGAAAATATCCTACGTCCACTAGTAGTACTCAGGCAGCATGCTCTAGGGTACAATAGGATTATTGCTGTAGGTACAGACAGTGCAAAACACACTCTGTGTTCTATAATAGTACTTACTTATCTGGGGTTGGTAGAATTAAAAGGAAACTTAGTAGATAGCAGTAAGTAAATATGGGATCTAACAAATCTAAACAGCACTTGAAATTTAAAGACAGTTATCACCAAAATTGGAAAAAATAAAACAAAAACAAAAACAAAAACTCTCGAGAAGAACCACCTATGTAGGAATTCAGGTGCAGTGCTAAGGGATGTGGTGCACCTGTTTAGCATGGTAACTCATAGTTGAAACAGAAACAAGAGCTCCTGCTCTTGAAAACTGAGACCCGTTGTGTTTCCAGGGTCCCCCTTTGCGAAACCGCAGACCCCGAAGAGTAGGTTTTCTGGAACAAGAAGCAAGGGAAGGACAGGAGTGGAGAAGGGAGGAGAGGAAACCCCACAGAGGTCTCCAAAGTCTAGTAAAAACATGGCACCGTTCTTGTTTGAAACTAAAAGACAATGAGAGGACTATCTTAAAATGGAAAGTGCAAACACGCTCGGCACACATGCACACCCCTGCTGCACATGGGACCATAAGCACGTGTACACTCGCACGCACACACACACACACACACACACACACACACACACACCCACACACACTCACACACACACACACACACACACACACACACACACACGGATGCACATCAAAATATGAATCAGTTGTGTTTATGCCTCTGGTAAAGTGCTGATGTCAGAAAGGTTGGTTTGGGTGTGGTGCTACCAGACAGGAAACAAGCTGTCCATCTATTCAAAAGCCAGCCCACAAAAATGCCATCCTACAGGGGCCCATGCCTGGCCTCGTACTTGGCAAGTATGTTCTTGCACTTGCCCAGCTCCTTCCTCAAGTCAGCCACCTCCTGGCGGAGGGCCGAGTTCTCCTTCTCCAGGAACGAGGCCCGGATGGCAATCTGGTTCTCCTTCAGCCTCCGGGCATCACGGGAGCGCTTGGCCGCCATGTTGTTCTTTCTGCGTCGTGCCCAGTACTTGTCATCCTGCTCATTAGTTACAGAGGGGAAAAGAAACAAGGTATTAGATTTCGGCAGCACTGAGTGTCAGCCAGGGTTCTGCTGCCACCAGCCCAGGTTTCTTCACGCCCATCTCCTTCCTTGACAGCTTCTGCATGAGAGGATGGTCCGCCAGCCAGGGCTTCCTTCCTTGGAGCAAGGACCAACCTGTCACAACAGACTTGCCCAACAGTGAGTGGCCAGTGAGGCGGATTTCAGAAGCTGAAAGCAGGAGGCTTGCCTCACAACCTAAATTCCATTCCAATATTCTTCACTCTCTTGGCTAAAAGTTTACCCCCCCCCCAATACTTATATAGGGCTTTCTAAGTTGGGACCATGTAATTGGAAGGCAACTTGGTAATATATAATTTTCTGTTTTTCTAATTAATTAGTTACTTAATTTTGAGATAGGCAGGCCTTGAACTCACTACGGATCAGAGGGTACCTGATCTTGAAACTCCCTTGTTTACCTCTGGAGTGCTAGAATAACCACCATGCCCAGTTCATGTGATGCTGGGGATCAAACACAGGGCTTCCTCTAAACACACACTTTACCAACCGATCTATATCCTCAGGCCCTCTGTGCTGTTGTTGTTTTTCTTTTCTTTAGTTTTTGTTTGTTTGTTTTGACACAGGGTCTCATGTAGCCTAGGCTGACTCACTAGATAGCCAAGGATGACCCTGAACTTCTGATCCTCCTGCCACTGCCTCCTGAGCACCACCATGTACAGCTTTTCTATATTATCTAATGAATACACTGTTGATCTAGCAACTCTACTTTTACGATTTATGTACTCTCCATGTACATAAACGTAGGCACTTTTTTTTTACATTTTTTAATTTATTTTTTTATGTGTATGTGTTATTATGCCTGCATATGTGTAAGTGACCGATGTCATGCAGTGCCCAAGGAGGATGGGAGAGGGCATTGGATTCCCTGGAACTGAAGTTACGGACAGTTATTAGCTGCCATATGGGTGCTGGGATTCAAACCTGGGTTGTCTACAAGAACAGCCAGCGTTCTTAACCACTGAGCCATCTCTCCAGCCCTACAAGCACATTTTTTTATTGTAGTATTGTTTGTAAAAGCAAAAAAAAAAAAAGAGAGAAAAAAATCATTTGCAAGAGAGTTAATAACTACACACTCAAATTACACAAAGGGATACTCTGCAGCTTTTAAAAATAATAACCTGGGCAGGAAGCCCCAGACCTAGCTGAGGATCTACTGGCAATTGATCGCTGCTGGGAGAGGGAGACTCGGTTTTCCTTACTGGTATGATGCCTGGTAGGCTGACCAGACTCCAAGTGATAGCCCCACATCCGAGAGCATTTAGGAAACACAAATTAAACTTGATAGGCCTTAAGAAAAAGCCAAATAATAGAGGACAAGAAGGGAGGGTAGTAAGGTAGGGGAGGGTCTGCCTATAATCAAAATACATTGTATGAAAAAATTGAATCCATAAAAATATTTTTGACAAAATATTTGACAAATATTTATAGAACTGGGAAATTGAACAGCAGACCCCAATCTTATCCAAAGGAATATTGACAACTGATTACCACTGGATGAGGAACAGCTGAACCTCCTAAAACAGGGACCTCTAGATAGGCTGACTAGATTCACCAGAAGGGCAAGTAGTGGGGAATGTCTGGGGTGCTGACACAGCAGACAGTACCAGGGATATCAGAGTATAGGCGCTCTAGTGGGGGGAGGGAGGCTGTGGGGGGGTGCTACCTGGGAAGTGGGTGTATAAATAAAAAATAATAATCTTTCAAAGCATAAAAATTTGCTCCTTAATAATTGGTAGACGTGAAAAACATTACCATTGAAATCTACCTGATGACTTTATATCCATGCTCAGATGCCAAGGAGCTCAGAAAGTAACCGACTGCGACTAGTAATAATCAGATATATAGAGATTAGAAACACATGTGCATCTTAGTGTTAATTGTATTAAACTTATTAGT